GGACAGTTCCTGGAAGAAGAAAATGAGGCACACTGGGAGCTCTGTGTCGTGAGGGAATGATGCTCTTGTTATTATAGAGGTTAATAATGGTAATGATCTTGCATGGCTGGGTCAGCCCGGAGAGACCAAGCTCTCCACAGTCTTTTCTCACAGAGGTTTTTCTGGACAAGTCAACGGGGCCCCAACTTGGTTGTGGTTGGGGAGAATAAAATAAAGACCTTCCCTCCCCTCCCCTGCCCTTTCCTCTCTGACTCCTTGAGGACTCCAGAAAACAAGGGAATCTTATTTAAAAAAAAAATCTCCATCACCCCCCCCATCCCCATTATTTTCCTCTTTTCTTTCCAGTTCACTAAAATGCACTGTCTTTGGGCGGTGGGCTTTCCTGGAGTGCCCTTCTCATGAAACAAGCAGTTACAGATCCTGTCTCTGACCCTGGAGGAGAGAGACCCAGGATTCTCTTGCCTGCTCCACGGAATTCTCCTTCTATCCTTAGCCTTTCCCAGTCTCTGCCTTCCTTGGTCCTGGGTGCCTGATCCCATGGGTCTCTGGCAGCTCAGAGGCCAAGAACAGATTGAGCCATTTTGAGATGCCCTCATCAAGCCCCCAAAGGGTTCCCAGCCTCCTATCATTTCCTTAATTCTGGAAGCACCAGGCCAAGGAACCCACCATAAGCTACCCTAAAGCCAGCCTAATTCCTAGAACTTTCAAAACTGCATTTCGCCTCCTTTAAAAGTAAGTCCTTTCCCCCCCTCTAACAGGAAAGTTTAGGTTACAAATCTCCAGCAGCGCAAGCTTCCTGCAGCCGCAAGTCAGAATTTTCAGCAGTAACAACAAAAATATTAATAATAAAAAGAATTAAAGCTGGCATCAAAGGCAGAAAGGGACACCCCAGCTCAAGTTTTAAAGGGGATATAATCCAGCAGCCTTGGATGAGAGTGGGGGTCAGTGAGGCCAGGATGAGCAAGGAAGGGGGTGGGGAACCCAACCTCTAACTAACAATTTCTCCAGCATAAAAATGAAACATCAAATTCGTTAGCCCAGGGCCTTCATTTTTCCCCTTCCACATTATAACTAGTTATTGAACTCGCTGGAAGATCTAAAGGCCATTTGCGAAGAGACAAATTTCAATGGAGTTTCCCCATCAATAACCCCATGGCAGTGACCTATTGGAACAAGTCAAACACCCGAGGTGAAATGCAGGTCACTCTGTCTAACCAATATTAAAATGCGGCCACTTTTTAAAAAGCCACTTTAAACGAGATTTGAGGAAAATTGAATTCCAAGGAAGGCAAGGCAAGGAGGGGGAAATCCACTAGAGGACCTTGCCTATGGTCTCCGAACAAACAAGAGAAATCCATCTTTAATATTTTAAAGGGGGGCAAATTAACATTCCATGATTGCCTTTTTTTTTTTTTTTTTTTTTGAGACTATAAGCGATTCCAGGAGGAAAAAAAAGGTTTAGTATTTTCTGGTGACACGTCCGGGTTATTAAAATCATTTTAGACCAATTCATTACTTTTACTGACAAGAGATTTAAGAAAAAATCAATTAAGCATTTGCATATTCTTTTGCATACATTACCTCTGCCTGCTGGCATTAGAAAGGGACAAAAACACACATACATACAAACACACACGGCAAAAAATGAGATAAGGGTCTTGCTGTAGTTTGGGGTTTTCAAGTTGCTTGGAGAAAAAATAAAAATGAAGTGAATTACTTGATTGCATACCATCTAAAAGTCAATTTATTTGAGAAGAGGGAAAGAGAGGTGTTGCGATTTTTAATCTCTAAAACAACAATAACAAAAGCACATCATACACACACACAAAATCCTGCACTTCTGAGAGTGGGAAAAGGAATGACCCTCATTTTCCTTCTCTTTGCCCTCCAAATCCTGAGTTGGTTCTCCCATTTCTTTTTCTCCCTAGGAAAATCCAGGGAGTCTGAGAGGTGAGAATTTAATGCAGCACAGAATGTGCGGAGCCGCTGAGGTCCCTCAGCCGGCAGCTTGTTACTGGGGAGGGGGGGAATATGGGTTATCCAACGGTCAGTATGGTAATCCGGGCACAATAAGGCCTTGCACACAATGGACACATATTTTTCTTCAGCGGTGTCAGAAGGGAAGCGCTTTGTACTGAAACATGTTTCCGAAAGAGAAACCAGATCGAGATTTAGAAAGGAGATGGGGAGGGTGGCATTCAGAGAGCGCTTGGAAGCTGGCAAAGGGTGGTCAGAAAAAATAAAAAATAGAACTGGGGCAGAGAGAGGTGGAGGGCAGAGTGGGAGTGGAGATCCTTAGGCTGGCAAGACAGGAGCAGGAGGGCAAAGCACAAAAGGAGAGAGGACCAGATACAAGGACTCATCACAGGCAAGAGCTGCTTGAGTGCCCCCCCCCCATTAAGCCAATGCTAAGTGCACGAGCTCTCCAGAGGGATTTTATTTCTGTGCTTGTAATAATATCCAGGTGAAAATGTTTGCATGTATGTGTGTGGTAGAGTCTGGCTGGCTTGCTATTTTCCCCTTGTGATAGGCAACTTCCTTGCTATTAAAGTACAGGCACCCAAAAAGAGTTTTTTGGCAAATGATGTAGATGAATGTGGCAAATTTGGAGGATCTCCCAGATTTCATTTTCTGGAGGTGCATGTTGAATTAGCTGTGCAAACCTGGGATGAGAACCCCACCTATTTATGGCTGCATAAGGAGGCATTTAATGTATTAATAAGTATTAACAGTATGTATGCATATATATTTGTTAGCTGTGATAACCAAAGACAGACTTGACATTCAGCTGGAGGCAACTGAACTCTCTGTATCTACTTATACATATTGGTCCAAAGTGGGTTTCCTGCTCCGGCTCCCTTGACCCACCTGCAGGAGCTCAGAATCCTGGGGAGTGGGGGCGTAGGATGGGCGACGCCTTGGGAAGAACTCCCTAACAAGCCCAAGAAGGTGAAGAGATGGAAGAAAAGAGGGTTGTCACGGGGCGGGGGGTGGGCAGGACTGGTAGAAGGTGAGTGTGAGGGCTGGGAGCGGAGGAGCCAGGCCAACACCTCACCTTTCCAAGGTGAGTTAGAGAATATTCTGGGCCAGGATTGGGTGGGGCAGCCTGATCCAGGGGCTGGCCTGAAGGGAGGTTGGGGGTGGGGCTGGAAGGCTTTCTCCTCCTTCAGCAACCCTCCCCCCACCCTACCTGAGCTCTCCGGAGCTTTGGCCCTCCCTGGGGGGCAGTCTGGGGGCTGTGGTTCAGACTCTTTATGTAGGGCAGCATTCAACATTGGTTTCCCTTTGCCCTCTTTCAGCAACTTATAATTAACCCACCCCTACCACCAATAATTACAACAAATAAAACCCTCCCAGGCTCCAAACCACTATCAACCAAGCAGCAGCCTTCCCCTCCCCACAGTTTCACATTCCTCTTCCGACCCAATTGGCCAGTCCTCAAATGCAGACGATCCCAGACAGGAATGGGGAGGGACCCACTGGGAAATTTGGGACTCTCTTCTGAGAGACGGTGGCCCTCCAGGGAATTCCTGTTCCCTCACCTGCCTGGTGGTAGGGAGACAGGGCATTGTCCTCCTGGGGAGAGGGTATCCAGGGGCCCCCAAGCCTGGCTCCCAGTGAGCCTGGGGTGAGGAGAGACTCGGCACTGGAGGATAGAGGGTGGCCAGCGGGCCCAGGTGGTTCTCATTCCTGCCCTCAGGGTGAGCCCTCATTTGAACGTGGGGACCCCCTCTCCCACATCCCTAAGGTGGTGAAAGACAGGTGGGGAATCTCCTGCCTTCAGTCTCCCTCTCACGAGGGCTTTATTTTTTTTTTTCCCTTTCCCCTCCTCATTCCCTTAATTGCAGATGTTCTAATTAAACCCTCAAATAGTTGTTATGCCGTTTTAAAAGGTACTTATTCAAGTGTCAACCAGGCTGGGCTGGTAGGAGGCAGCGTAGGGCGGCGAATTAAAGGTAGATTGACTAATCACGGCGGCGATCATAATAATAAAATCAGAGGGAAAAAAATCACATTACGACTTTTCGTGGAAAGGAGGGAGCAGGCAGCCAGCGGCCGCCAGCCCTGCGCCGCCGCCGACACAAAGAGTGCGGGCGATTCCGCGAGACTGATTTATGACGTTTTACAGCCCTATAAAAGCTGTAGCGACGAGGCAAGCGCTCCTACCACCGCTGGCAGATTTAGTCTAATAAATAAAACATAAACAGTTAACTTTATGTGTCACTTTTATTGTTATCAAGTAAAATATAGCCGAGCCCCGGCAAGCTATGATTTTAAACTATAATTGTTATCAAGTACAACAAGAGGACCCAGCTCCCTCCCTGGGCTCTCCCTTCTGCCACCCCCCAACTCTGAGTTATGGGATCAGCTAATTGGAATTAGTGGCACGACGTGGCCACCCCTGGCTGGGGTGGGGGGGCGTCAGAAAAAGCAGCCCTTTCTTGCCCCCTCCCGTCTCCATGGCCCTGCCACCCCACCATCAGGGTATTCCTGTGGGTGGGTGGCAGAGAGAGGGGAGCGGGTAGGAATGGACTGGAGACCCCCAAGGTCTGCCCAGCCTCCCCAGCTTGGTGAGCTCACCCCTCAGCTTTTGGAAAGCAGCCTGGAGCCGGCCCTTGGGAATGTGTGTTTACATGTAAACACATGTGTTACATGGATACAATCCCTGGCCGGAAGCAGGCTCTGCCCACACAGGCCTCCCGCTTAGCTAGGTCGGCGCTCTGTGGGGATGAAGCAAGAAGAGCTCCCAGGGCCTTGGCTGGGCACCATCGCAGGGCACTGACCCCTGGCAGATCCCTCTCCTCCTTGCCGCAGGTCCTTAGGAACCAGCCCTGGAGGTAGTTGTCAGAAAGCAGCAGGCCCAACGGAATGAGAGTGGAAACAGCAGTGAGCAGAAGAGATCCTCCGCTCTGGCGCCGGGGCAGGGAGGGTCAGTGGGTACTAGGGGAGGAGGGCAAGGCTTCTGAACTCTGCTTTTGCCAACCACTTCCTGTCTCTCTTCAGCGGGGGGTTCAACCCCCAGACCTCCAGAAATGACGTCAGAATCCTTTGCATCCCGCTGCCTCTACCTGCCCTGTCCGGCTGGGACCCTGCCTCGCCGGCCCCATGGCCAGAGGGTTGGGTGAGTGTGTATGGGGAAGGGGGCTGGACTCTGGTATCCTTGGATGGGGGGCACCCCAGGCTCTCCAGCCTCCTGGGCTCAGCCTGGGCCCCTCCCCATCCAACCTCCGCTCCAGTCCTCCTCATTCAACTTCCTCTTCCTGCAAAAGAGGGGCGCTGCCCGGTGACCTACACAGACTGAGACAGGATCAGGATCGCCATGAATGGAGACCTCCGGAAAAGCTCTGGAGCCGAGGCCCAGGGGGCCCACCGGAGGCCCACGGGGAGACCCTGGGAGGGGGCTGAACCGCAGCCTCCCCACAGCCCCCCAAAGCCCAGGCTTTGGAAGGGAGCTGAGGGCTTCCCATCCCCTTTTGCAGGGGAGGGCTGTCAGTCGGCGGGGTGCGCACTGGGGGCACCTCAGCCCCCACCGGCTAGCCCCACATCACCACCACCACCACACACAAAAAAAATTGGATACATTTTGAATAAAGCGATTCGGTTCCTTATCCGGGGACTGGGTTGCTCCGTGTGATTGGCCGGCGGAGTCACATGGTGAAAGTAACTTTACAGGGTCGCTAGCTAGTAGGAGGGCTTTATGGAGCAGAAAAACGACAAAGCGAGAAAAATTATTTTCCACTCCAGAAATTAATGATCATGAGCTCGTATTTGATGGACTCTAACTACATCGATCCGAAATTTCCTCCATGCGAAGAATATTCGCAAAATAGCTACATCCCTGAACACAGTCCGGAATATTACGGCCGGACCAGGGAATCGGGATTCCAGCATCACCACCAGGAGCTGTACCCACCACCGCCTCCGCGCCCTAGCTACCCCGAGCGCCAGTATAGCTGCACCAGTCTCCAGGGGCCGGGCAATTCGCGAGGCCACGGGCCGGCCCAGGCGGGCCACCACCAGCCCGAGAAATCACAGCCGCTCTGCGAGCCGGCGCCTCTATCAGGCGCCTCCGCCTCCCCGTCCCCAGCCCCGCCAGCCTGCAGCCAGCCAGCCCCTGACCATCCCTCCAGCGCCGCCAGCAAGCAACCCATAGTCTACCCATGGATGAAAAAAATCCACGTTAGCACGGGTAGGCAACTTTGCTTTTTGCTCTCCCCCTCCCTCCCCTCTTCCCAAGCGCTCCCCACCCTCCCCGGCCCCCTCCGGCCCCCGTCCTCCTTTCTCTCCTTCCCCCTCTCTCTCCAGGAGCGACTCTGGGTTAGCACAATTGAACTGGATTTACGAGCGAGAATGGGTAATTACATCCCCCATAAATTTTATGGCTTAGCTACTCTGGGCAGTCCGAGCCATGTGCTACGATCTGTTATGTATGTGTGAAAACTATGCTCGCTTTCTAAGGGCGCATAAATAATTCAGTGTCGTTACAATGAGGATTCCCCTCTTATTACACTACAAAGTCTCCAGCTTCCTTCAACTTCTTTATAACCCATTTAGCTTGATGACTTTATTTCCACCACCCCTCCTCCTGTTCCACAGAGCTGAGGATGGGGTGGGGGGTGGGGGCGGGAGCCTGCTGCCTCTGAACCCCACTATTTGCTTTCCCCCCTCCTCCTCCCCCCAGTGAACCCCAATTATAACGGAGGGGAACCCAAGCGCTCGAGGACAGCCTACACCCGGCAGCAAGTCCTGGAATTAGAGAAAGAGTTTCATTACAATCGCTACCTGACCCGAAGGAGAAGGATCGAGATCGCCCACTCGCTGTGCCTCTCTGAGAGGCAGATCAAAATCTGGTTCCAAAACCGTCGCATGAAATGGAAGAAGGACCACCGACTCCCCAACACCAAAGTCAGGTCAGCGCCCCCGGCCGGCGCTGCGCCCAGCACCCTCTCGGCAGCCACCCCGGGCACTTCTGAAGACCACTCCCAGAGCGCCACGCCGCTAGAGCAACGGGCAGAGGACATTACCAGGTTATAAAACATAACTCACACCCTGCCCCCACCCCGTGCCCCCGTCCTCCCCTCACACACAAATTGACTCTTATTTATAGAATTTAATATATATATATTTTTTGGTTCTTTTCTCTCTTCCTCCCACCTTGTCCCTTGTCAATTCCAAACTGACAAAACAGATAAACAAGCCCTCTGCCCTTGTCTCCCTTCCACTGTTAAGGACCCTTTTAAGCATGTGATGTTGTCTTAGCATGGTACCTGCTGGGGGTTTTTTGTTGTTGTTGTTGTTTTTATTTTTTTTAAAGGCCATTTTGGGGGGTTATTTATTTTTTAAGGAAAAAGCTGCAAAAATTATATATTGTAAGGTGCGATGGTCTGGTTTGGGTGAATTTCAGGGGAAATGAGGAAAAGAAAAAAGGAAAGAGAGATTTTTAAGCCAATTCTCATCCTTCTCCTCCTCCTCCTTCCCCCCTCTTTCCTTAGGCCTTTTGCATTGAAAATGCACCAGGGGAGGTTAGTGAGGGGGAAGTCATTTTAAGGAGAACAAAGCTATGAAGTTCTTTTGTATTATTGTTGGGGGGGGGCTGGGAGGAGAGGGGGGACGACAGCAGACAAAGCTAAATGCATCTGAAGAGCCTCTCAGAGCTGTTCAGTTTGAGGAGCCAAAAGAAAATAAAAATGAACTTTCAGTTCAGAGAGGCAGTCTATAGGTAGAAACCCCCCCACCCCACCATCGTGGTTATTGTGTTTTTGGACTGAATTTACTTGATTATTGTAAAACTTGCAATAAAGAATTTTAGTGTCGATGTGAAATGCCCCGTGATCAATAATAAACCAGTGGATGTGAATTAGTTTTACGTCAATGTCTGATGGTTTCTTTTTATCCCCCTCCTCCTTCTGGCCTGGTAACATCCCACCTTCTCTATAGTTGCCTGAGTTTAAGCAAACACACAAATCTTAACTCTCAACTCAGTTTTCCAATGTCCTTAGACGAACCAGCAAGGGGGTTGGGGCAGGGGATCCTCAAAAGAGGGGATATGGAAGATTAGTGCTGATTTCTCCCGTCCCTTCCCTGAGTCTGCAGAGAGGGACATAGAGTGTGGAGCTGGGAGGGTCTCACTTTTCTGTAGTTAGGCACAGTGTCTTCTTTTTGTTGATTCCTCTCTCCCCTCTTCTCTTTTCTCTCTGCTGAGTAGGCCTGCCTGATTTGCAGACAAGAAGGCAAGTTTAAGGAGTGGAGGGGGGAGACAAGAGTTTTCATCTTTTAGGACTCTTCTGGGATGAGGGATTAAGGAAGACGCCCCCTCAATGTGCCTGTGCTTCTTAAAAGAAGGAAGATTTTTGAGCTGGTGATTCTGGAGCAGCAAAGTGACCTGTCAGGGTGGCTTCTCTGTTTGTTTAGACTTGGAAAGAAGGGTGAAGTGGAGGCCAGAGGCCCAGGAGGCCCCCTTGCATGGGTAGGCCTCAAAGCCTGATGCCTAGAGATAATGAAGAACTTTTATTTTTTTCCCTAACTTTTATCATGGACCTGCCAGGTGTTGAGAAAAGACACAGGGAAAGGCAGGGACCACCCCTCTTCCTATAAGCTCCCAGGTCCTGGCAGGGCTTGGGGATAGCTGGAACAAGGCTCTCAGGCTGTTTAAAAAAAAAAAAAAAAAATTCAATTGTTTCCTTAGAGATAAAAAGAGAGAGAGAGAGAGAGAGAGAAACAACAACAACAAAAACTGGCCTGGATTACCTGAATAATTAATTTAAGCCAAAGGCTCCCAAATAATCCTGATCCTGAAGACCAGGCCCTAAGCAGGGCCTGCTCAAATCTTCTCTTGTTTGTTGGGAGGAGGTGGGGGTGGGTACTTGGTGGGCTTCTCAGACAATTTATCCAAATTTCAGAATAGAGGGCTACGAGAAGTAGAAGAGAGAGGGCGAAGAGATCTGGGATTTGTAGAGGAGGCAGGGATACCCCTCTCCCCTCTCCCCAAATTCTGGAGTGAAAGGTAACAATGGGGCCAATTGTGAAAATGTGTTGTTCGGCGTGCTTTGGGTTTATTTCCTCTTGAACCACTCGCTGGTTGTACTTGGAGTGGAGTACATATGGGTGCATGCATGTGTGTGTGTGTGTGTGTGTGTGTGTGTGTGTGTGTTTTGGGGGGAATCACTTGGTCCTGTAGGTCTACTTTCTCCTCCCTCAGTGGTGCCCTGGAGATAGCAAAACACGATGCCTACAGTGTGAGGAAGCAGGGCCAACAATTATCTGGAGTTATTTTATGTAATCAAGTGAATTAGGGGCCAAATCTGACTGTAGCTCCTAGCATCTTGAGGCAGTTGACTTTGGGGCAGGAAAAGGGGGTCTAACTGTGCTTGGGAAAAGGGAAGGAAGGTCTGAGGGGTGGACTTGGGTGTCTTTTCAACCCTGTAAGGAAGTTTAAATGGAAAAAGAGGGGGGGGGGCGGAGAAAGAAAAGGAACTTAAGATCCATAGGCTTATTCTAACTTTGCTCCTTTGGTTTTTTAGAGGAATTTATTCCCCTCTCTTCCCCAAAGCTGAAGAGATGAAAGCGAGGAGGAGAAAAATGACTATCTTTTCTTTCTTAAGCTTCTCCCTGAACTTGCCGAAGGGACACTCTAGCTCAGGAAAGCAGTAGCAAAGGGTTGGGACAGTTCTTTTATTGGCCTTCTTTAGGGGCTTCAGCTTCTCCTCCTCTCACACGTATACACACATAGTTGTTCTCTGTCCCTCTTGGTGTGACCAGGGGAAACATCAGAAATCCCTAATTCTTGACAAATGAAACAAAACTAAACCCCCTTACATTTGAGTTTTTGAAGATTTTGGCCTCTGGCCTTCCCTCCAGTGGGCTCCATTCTCTCCTCTTCGCCCCAAACTCTCCTTTCCTTGGGCCTGACCACCCCAGAATGGGATCAGCGTCCCAGAGAGGGAGTGAGGGGCGTGGAGGGCCGACCTGGGCCCCTAGCTCCAACAGTCTGGGTCCCCGCTGCTGCTCCCCGCGATGCCGTCACAGCCTCACTGGGAAGGGCTGGAGCTTTTATTGAAGTCGGGTTGAGCACAGGGGAAAGGCTGGGGGGGAGGGCGGGGAGGACGCAGCCCAGGTTCACGGGGAGGACACAGCATTTTCTCGCCCATCGCCTTTATACTCGCAGCGCCTCTGACCTCTCCCCCACCCCCATCTCCGACCCTCCCAAGCCAGCTCTTGCTCAGCCCCTGGTCTCCAGATAGGACGCCACTGCTTTTGTAGGGCTGGGGATTTCTTGCCCAGAGTAATGGGAGAGGCAAGGCGCATGAATGCCTGCTAGCGCATTGTATCTCTCTCGCCAATGGCTAAGTTAAAAGAAGACGGGGTGAAAGCGGCAACGCCAATCTTCCAAGATCCTTCTCTCCAAGCACCTGGAGATCCCCACAGGTCACAAACCCCCTTGCCATGTAAGTAGTTAGCACTCGATCTGCTCAGGGCGAGGAGCACAGCAGTTACAACTCTGCCTCTGCGTGCATTTCCATATTTAGCTCAATTCCCGATCTTGGGGAGGGAAGGCGGGAAATCCAATCATGAACAGAAGACTTCTGCTGGGGGAAAATGGAGTTTCTGTGCCGAGTCTCGTGTACCTGGGGAGTGAAGAAACTTGGCTCAGAAAGGAGAAGGTGGGGAGGGAAAGTGAGCCTGGGGTGGGGGAAGGCCTGGGGAACTCGATTTCTCTGAGGGCGTCTTGCGGCTGCTCGTATGAAGTTTCCTACAAAGTTTTCTCTGCAATCTGTGCATCAGCTTTTTTTTTTTTTTTCATGCGTGGACTTAGCGGATTGCAGTTCAGAGCTGCCTTCCCGCTGTTAGATGGATGTGTATGTGTGTGTTTGGGGGAGTGGAATGGAAGATAAAACAAGGGGGTTCTCCAGAGCTTGGGACCAGGGTACCCTCTGCTAGGCACCATTTGTCTACTTGTCCAAGATCAGGGAAGACAGACTCTGAAGGGGGCCCTCGAGACTGAGGGTGCTATGACGGGGAGGAGCAGCGTGCTGGGGCAATTCCACCATCTTCTCCTCTGCCTTTTGCCCAGTCCTGGGGGAGCATGCTATTGCCCTCACAGAGCTCCTTCTCATAGTTTTCCACAGCTTCTATTTGGTACCCCTCTTTCAGAGCTAATTCTGAGACCCTTCCCAGGTTTGGAAAAAGAGACAGAGGATTCCCCCCAACTCCAGCGGCCACCAGAGCAGAAGGAATATTTATTACCTCTCTGGATATCATTATCTAAGAATACAATTTTATGCACTTCCTAATCTGTTAGCCTGATTTATCTGGATGGGCAGGAACCCAAAATAAATATTTGGGGGATTTGGAAGGAAAAAAGTCTTTGCTTCTGACCAGTCTTTCTGATTGAACTGATCACCCCCCCGCCCCCCGCCACCAACTTGGTCTGCTTTTTCTACACCCCATATAGCTAGCCCCATTTAAATTTTTTCTCTGCAGCTTGTGGCTGTTTGGGGAATCGGAGTTTTAGTTGCCTCTTGAGAATTAAAAATGGCTGGGTACACTGTTTGAACCAGAGACCTGAAGGGGTCCCTCAGCCACCTTAAAATCCGTGTAGCTCTCGATGTTCGGATCCCTTTTGGATTTGGTAGCAGAGAGAAAGCAAGGTTTGCTCATCTGCCCTCCAGGTCCAGGAGCCCCTTCTCAGACCTGGCTCTGTCTCCACGGCTTAGGATTTGTCTTCTCTTCTCTCTCTGGGGTCAGCTCAGTAGCTTCTTGAACCACAGGGTCCATCCAGAAGCAGAGCCCACAGCCATGCAGACAGGGGCAAGGGCCTCTGCAGCTCCATCTTCCTGCTTCCCGGTTCCTGCAGACCCGCCTAGCTGATAAATTAGGAGGCAGGGAAGACAAGGATGGGTAGGGAGGATCTCCCATGTTTGAGGGTGAATAGGGTGACGGAGTCTAATAAATGGAAAGGGCTATTTTAAATTTCCAGTCCCCATCAGCAGTTGCCAGATTTCCTAAGATGTAGGGTCCTCTAGGGTCTCTCCTGCCAGTCAGGATGGGGTAGGGGTCAGACCCAAAGAAGTGTCACCTCTGCTCACTCCTCCTTTCTGACCCTCTGCCCAGCCTCGGAGATTGGGAGAGGGAAGGATATTTGAACTTCCGGGGGACAAGCCTTAAGACGGGCGTGGAGGAGGCACTGCCAAATAGTCCGAGCCTAGGCTCCCGCTGCCGGCCTCTGGCTTCCCAGGCAGCCGGGGCCAGAGAACCGGGCACAAAGCGGCCGCTGTCTCCGGGGGTCCCGGCTCCCTTCTGGAGCGACCGGGGTCCTGAGGATGGCGAACTGGGGCCCGCCCGGGCAAAGGTGAGGTGCGAGAGGGCGCTGCCGGAGGCCCCTCCGGGTTCCACGCCACGGCCGCTCCGGGCTCCGTGTCGCCTTCAGCTGGGTCACGACCCCGGGCTCGGCCCGCGGACAATAGGGCTCTGGGCGGGGGCCGCGGGCTGCGCGACCGGCCGAGCGGGTTCACTGCGCGGTGAACTCCGCTCCACCTCCGGGTCTCGGGTCTCGCCCTTTAAGAGCCCAAGCTCTCTTTTCTTTGCCCTATTCCGCCTTCATTTTTTTTTCGTAGAAAATTGAGCACACTCTCCATTGCTCCTCGGCCGAGCAATACCTCACCGTTACCGCCACCAAATCGGATTCCATTTTCTTTAGAAATGAAAGCAGAGTTTTCTCCCGAGTTACAAGAGCGGGGAATGGGACCCTCTCAAGATTTTTGTGGGCACGCAGAGAAGAGAAGAATCCCAGGCCATCAAACCAACAAATGGTCTCCTCCATCATAGGAATTCCAGGCCCAGAATGGGTCCTCTCTGCACCTCCACCCCAAATCATAGGAAGAATTGCTTCCCTCTTCCCCTGCCCTTTGTCTCTGGGCACTAGATTAGGATCCGGGCTCTTATAAAAGAGACATGCTCTCAAATCTGATGGGCAGGGACTGGACTGGGTTATCCATGGTGCGGGGGAAGTGTGAGTGGGGAGTGAGTAACTTGGGAGATGTCCCCCAACCGGTTTGTTCTTGTTCCTCGATCTCTCCCCATCCCAGTGATTGCCTGGCCCGTATTTGTGACTCTGTCCCTTTGGGCAGTGGCACAGTGTTTGTAACTTCGTCCATGTGGAGTCTTTCCACTCAGCTAGAATAGACCTTGGAAAATAAGATTGCAGAATACGGTTGGTTCTAGCTGGAGGTAAAAAGGCAGGCAGTTTGGGGAGAGGAGAAAATGGGGGAGGTATGGAATATTCCCCATGGACATTTGCTTCCTGCCTTTCCCCAGCTCCCCACCTCAGCGCTATCTTGCCTGACCAAGCTCAAAGATGAGATGGAGAGATGCTCCCCTCCCCCACCTTGGGAACCTTTCTTCTTGGACCCCATCGGACCATTTCAACCCATTTTGGAATGTGACTGCCTATAGCCCTGCCTGTCTTTACTTGGCTGTTTCAAGGTCTCTGCCTGGCATTTCTATTGCTTTCTGTGCTCTGTGTTTCCTCACATCCTTGCTCCTCTGCCCCTCTCATCCTGCAGCAATCCTCTGGGATGATCCCTAGCCCCAGTGCTCCTCCTAGAACTCCCCTCCAACTGAGAAAGCAGAGAAGAGGAACCAAAAGGTGGGGGCAGCAATCTGGGAGGGACAGCTGAGGTTCAAAAGTTCCTGGCTGAGCCTCCAGTCCAGGCCACCTCAGGGGCAGATTGGACCGACAGCTCCAGGGCCAGCAGCAAATAGAACAAGGTTTTACAGCCTGGGCAGATGTCGGCTTAGCCAACTCACCCGGATTCCCCTTTATCTCCTCCACCAAAGAGGCTCCAATCCCCACCATACCTTTGTTCTCTTTCCTTCCCCCCACCTCCCCCTTCTCTTCCTCCGTTTGATCCTGCCTTTACCCCTCAAATTATTTCTTTAGATCTGGAAGCATCTGTTCCTGCCTGCCCCTCCCCCCCCTTTCCTCCTTTTCCTCCTTTTCCTCCTCCCTCCACTTCTGGGAGTCAAAGAAGCCCCCAAATGGAGGACCTCTGGCATCTAGCCTGCTCTGCTACCCCAGGGCCCAGACACCAGTGAGGCCAACCCTTGAGAACCCTCCCCAACCCCCGTCACAGGCATTTTATTCTCCCAGCTGGTTGAGGGCCCTGGATTTGCAGTCTGAGTCTTGGCCCCCAGGGACCAGTCTCTTCTCTCACTGGGACAGTTACCCATTAAATTCAGGTGAAAGTGAGAAATCTGAGGTGGAAGGGTTTGGTGAAGAATTACTTAGGTAATTGCCCCAGTTCTCTGGGGGCTGTTTTGGGCTCCAGAGTTTGAACATGTCTTCATATCCTGACCATAGAGGGGAGATGGCCTTGGCAGGAGAGCCTGCCCCTTCCCTTGATGGCAAAGTCATTTTCTGAGCAATTAGAAAGCCCTCCAAGCCCTCCCAGAATTCCATAACCCTAACTGAGGAGACCAAGACAGTATCCACACTATGCACATTAGAGGGCCTGTTTTCTCTCTCCTCCAAAAAATAAAAAGAAACATATCCAGGAATATGTGGTCTCCAAAGCTTAAGGAGAGGGTGGTAAACCCAGTCCGGGTAAACAATAGAATGTCTTTTCCTCTCCTAGTCAATCCAGTTCAGTCTGAGTCCAGATAATTCAGGCTAAGACTCTTGAACTCAGCCTGGTAGACCGGCTTTAGCAAAAGCCCACTTCCTATCCCAGAGCACCAGACTGGAATACTGCCGAGGTCCTCGCCCTACTGCCCACCATTGAAAATTGGTAGAAACGAATAAGTCCTCTCTTCCCTCCCCTTCCTCCAGCTCCATCCTGAGATTTCACCCTGCCTGGCATCCTGCTCCCTCTTCTGTCCTTGAAGACCGGTGGTTGGCCAAAAGCCCCAGATTCATGCTCCCTGTGGCTCTGCCACTCAGTTTCCATGGCAATGAGAGGCAACTGAACTATTCCCCTGCCCTTCAGCTGGTTGGATAGACCTGTATCAGCCAAGATGTTCCTTGGGGGAACCTGACCGAAGAAAGATACAGGAGACGGGAGTCTGTATTTTGTTATGGCATCTTTGCTAATTAGTCAGGATGGAAGAGGGAAGACTGGGGCTAGAGTCCCTCCCTCCAGCCTCTAATTTCACACAGTCCTTTCTCTCTGCACACATGTTTACCTAGGAACACACCCTCAAAACACGCATGACAGATTCATGCTAGGACCTCAACATATCCGCTTCTGTTCATATCTGCATGGGTAGGTGACTTTGCTGAAGGCGTGTGCGTATGTGTGTGTACGTGCGTGTGCGTGTGAGTAGGGGTAATGTGTGACAGAAAATAACATCCCAGCTAGAGCTCCTGTGAAGTAGGCTCTTTGACCTATCACTAATGTCCCTGGTGACAGAGGCTTCTGCTGCCCCCTCTCTCCCACACACTGCTCTCCAAAGCTTGTCCCTTGGCCAAAGACCGTGGGGCCTGAGGACTCACCCTGATCCTGCAACTTGGCTCCTTAGGCCTGGGGTGGCTCTAGAAGAAGGAGGCGAAGTCAGAGGCCTCTGGAAGACCAGATTCTTCACTTAATACTCTACTTTTGCAAAGTGAGATCAAAACCACGAACATTTCTCTAACCCTCCAGTCTGTACGACTCTGCCGTCAGGCAGGACCTAGGAAACCACAATCACCACCACACCAGCAGCAACAGGGACAGCAGCGTGATGATCTCCTGGGGACGCTAACTGCCTTACGGTGGTGTTGGAGCAGTCAGGGGACTAATGTAGGAAAAGCACTTCGATGAGTGCTCGGCATACAGTAAACTTTCAATAAGCGCCATTTCTTCTTCTTCTTCTTCTTCTTCTTCTTCTTCTTCTTCTTTCTTCTTCTTCTTCTCCTTCTCCTTCTCCTTCTCCTTCTCCTTCTCCTTCTCCTTCTTCTTCTTCTTCTTCTTCTTCTTCTTCTTCTTCCTATTACTATTAACAATAACAGGCATTTTCTTAAGTGCTTACTATGGACCAGGCACTGTGCTAAATTTGCTATCTCATTCAAGCCTACAATAATGTTGGAAGGAAGTTGTTGTGGATCTGCATTTTTTTTTTTTTGTGGTTCAAAAATATGGAACGCTTCACGAATTTGCGTGTCATCCTTGCTCAGGGGCCATGCTAATCTTCTCTGTATCGTTCCAATTTTAGTATATGTGCTGCCGAAGCCAGCACGTGGATCTGCATTTTACCGAAGAGGAAGCTGAGGGAGGCCCCCGAGGCTAGCGATAGGCTCCATTGGCAGAGCCAATGGAGGATGCCAGTCAGACTGGCCTGACTCCAGAATGGGCGCTCTGAACCCCTCCAACGATTCTTTGCTGGTGATGGACAGGGGCGCTGGCTGTCAGGATGGGCTGAGTTTAGCAGGGAGTGGGGGACCACGCCAGCCTGAGCACAAGCAGGACCTACAGTAACCTGAGTTTTGCTACTGGGCTTGCCTGGGCAGGTTCTTGTCCTCCCCAACAACAGGCTGTAACCAGTGGTTCTCAAACTTTTTGGTCTCAGGATCCCTTTACACTCTTAACAATTATCACAATCTCAAAGAACTTTTAAAATATGAGTTATAGCTATCAATATTTACCTTATTAGAAATTAAAACTGAAACCTTCTAAAAATCTTTAAAAATAATAATAATGAATCCATTACACGTTAACGTAACTAACTTTTCAGGAAAAATAACTATATTTTCCAAAACAATTTAGTGAGAAGAATGTCACTGTTTCGCATGGAGGCAAATCTCTTTAATGTCTAGCTTCATAGAAGACGAATGGATTCTCGTACCTGTTTCCGCATTCAATTTGTTGCAATACCTTGTTTTGGTTGAAGTATATGAAGTACATAGCCTCATGCAGATAAGTAGCAGGGAGAGGAAAGACCTCTCGCAGAGCTCCTGAAAGGATCTTCAAGAACTCCCAGGGATCCTTGGACCACATTTTAAGAACCACTAATCTAACCGACTGAGCTAACCAGCAGAAGCTACTCCATTGGCTTATATTGGATACTGTTTTAGCTCATTAGTGGTGCTTCTGACTCCAAAACCTATCATCATTTCACTATTCCATGCTGTATTTGGAATGTGTCATCTTCGGCAACTTATTCAATTTTTCTATCCCATGGATAGATTAACAGACAGAAAGACAGACATATACATACATATATGCTATGTATGTCATAGATATATATTCATCGTTTTTTAGTACCAAAATGTAGAATAAAATACAAATTTATAGATAAAATGGCCTTCCTATGTCTAACATTGTTTGAGATGGCAGCTTAGCTATTAATATCAGTCTTGTGTTTCAGGAGGGGAAACTGAGCCAAAGAGGGTGATGTGACTTGCTGAAGATGACATGCTCAGCAAGTGGTGGACAGTAGACTCGAACTCCTGTCCTCTAACTCCTAGACCTGTATTTACCCACTCAGAACCCCTTTCTCTAGAGACATAGGTGTATAACATGAGTATGGAAGGTAGATGTGTGCCATGCACAAACTCTTTCTGGAAGTATATGTGATGGTTGTTTATCTGAATATATCTATGTGTGAGAGGAGAAAACTATCTTGTACCTGCATGCAAAGGTATAGTTTTGTTAAGAGGTACAAGGCACCAGCCTGACAGTGTTTTTCCCTCCTCACCAAACTCTCCACGTGTCTGTGGTCCTGGGCTTGATCTGTCCATTGTCAGGAACATTTCTTCCTTCCAGGTCTCCTGCTGGTACATTCTCACTGAGAGTGTGTAAATTGCCCACATCTTCCCATGAGCACACAGAACAGGTGTAACAATCTAATATGCCCTTCTTTTTCTTCCCCCAAACATCATGTCTGACACATCTTTTCAAAATAAGTGATCTACAAGTGTCCAACCAAGGAAAGCATAGCTGTGTGAACCGAGGTGTGTATCTGTCTGCGTAAATGCAAATGTGGAGCCCTTGGGTGTCCATATACTTGTCTGGGTAATCCCCATGTAAATGTATGAGCAACTGGAGTCTCAGTTCTTTCATTAATCTGATAAGTATTTATTCACAAATTCTATGTTTTATGGCTGCGTGAGGCTCATGTTTATGCAGGATCCAATGAGAAGAACCTTCGGTAGGAAGTCAGGCTGCCTGAATTCTAGTCAGAGCTTTCTGCTCCCCCTTGCTGTAAGCAAATCCCTTATCCAGTGAGAGCCTCCACTTCCTCATCCACATAATGGGGGGAAACAATTATAGTCTCAGCTACATCTCTGGATGGGGAGTGTAGTGAGGCAGTCGTAAGAGATGCCTGAGTGAACATGATTCTTTTTTTGTTATCAAAAATTTCAAACACAATAGTAGAGAAAATAATATAATCAAACACTCATATACCCATCACCTCACTTTAACAATGATCAACCCATGACCAATCTAATTTTATCTACATTAAACCCAATACTACCTCATATATCTTGAAACAAATCTCAGAAGTCATGTCACTTCTCCTGTGAACAATTCAACAAATACCTCTAAAAGATAAAGACTTTTTAAAATAACATGACCACAATATTATCATACCCACCTAAAAATTTTTTAGTAAAATTTGTTAGCTTTTTTAAAGAATGGAGAAAGGTCTTTAACAACGCAGAGCTGCTGACTCCCTTGTGCCTCATGCTCAGAGTTGATGAATGTCAATAAGAGAAAATAAGTAGAATGGGGAGGAAAAGATGAAGTTTCCTTTTTTATTTCCATCTTAGAATCCCAGTTCACCTCCAGACACTCCCCTCAACTCATTAGGTCCATTAAAAATGGGCTGACAGGGAACCCTGGAGGTCTAGAGCTGGTGGAAGCAGCCAGAAGGGGCCCTTGGAAGACACTGCAGACCTCATTTTGGAAGAAAATATGTGTTGAGCCAGAAGGAATCTGAGCAGAGGGCCTGCCCAACCATTCTCCAGCATCAGATTTCATCCTTGGCTTGCCAGGCAGACTTCACAATATCTGAAGTCTCACTGGAGTTACTGATCTCCAAAGACATGCAGATACGTACATGTCATAGCATCCGCCTACAGACACCCAAAAGGAGATATGCGCAGAGGCAAAGGCAAATCCACCTGCCCACACAGGCCGTGTACAAACACACGCAAACGCTCAGAGACAGATGCAAATGTACAAGTACGTAGCAGCAAACTTAGCCGTGTGAGAAACACAGAGACACAAATCCAAACACTCAGACATATGTGAATATGCAGGGATACAAACGAAGTTCTGGAACAAAAATACAAAAGCCTACACAATTTTTACTTATACAAATACAAAATACAAAAATACAAAAAGCCAAATACAAAAGCCTGGATGTGTGTAAATATACATTGGGCCACTTTTACTCATGATCAGTTAACATGGCCAAGGTCCATTCTAGCTGGCTTTTTCCCTCTCTTCTCATCAAGCGGGTCAAATATCAGCCAAAGCTACATTCTGTGTCACCTTCATGCAGATATGCACCAAAGACAAGTCATCGCAAGGTCTTCCCAGTGCCGCTGACAGCACAAGTTCTCAGTCCCCCCTGGTCCTCTGTCCCCAAAAGACAAGGCTAGGAGTACTGTGGCATGGTATGTATGCGTGTGTGGGACCATACGGACACTCATTTCTTTGTCCTAAGAAGTCTGCTCAGTATGAAGGGGAAGAACACTGGCCATGTACAGACTCTAAGTCAGCTCAGACTGACAGGGGAATGTCGCTTTGCCTACACTGTCCTACAGGGATAGGTGGACTGATTTCTCACGAAATTGGTTAGCCCAAGTGGGTGTTTTGGCATCTCACAGACATGACCTGAGCGTGCTTTCTGTGGGCCTGAGTGAGGCTGTGTCAATCGTCTGGGTTTGACTCTTTTTAATGAACTTACCAATCCATTCAAAGAATAAAGGTGATGCTGCTGAGTAGATCAGATGGTGGTTGGCTACGCCTTGCATGGCTGCAGGGTGATTCTGAAGCAAAAAGGATGGCCGGAATCTGACAATTTTAAAATAAAATCCATCAATTAAGTAGAGATAAACCAGTTTATCTATGTTCACCACTATGTTCACCAAAACCAGTCAACTGACTAAAATGTCCTCATTTCAACCAATTTTTGCAAGATGCAGCGGCAGCCACAGCATCTGAGTCAGGGGACGCAAATATGTGTGCCTTGAAAGCTGAATTGATGCTGGCGTTTAGGGTAGGGAACGGGCTGTGTAAGTGACTGTACATTTTGGGAAGGAAAAAGCAGTGGTGCAGGGCTGTGTGCATGATTAGATGAGGACATGTGTCTGTGCCCATTTATAGCCAACATCACTGACGAGAAAGTAAAAATTGTGTAGTGTAACTGGGGCTCTCCCTTTACAGGGGATCACAGGATGTTAGGTATCGAAGGGACCTTTGAGCTCATGTGGAGACTGAGGCTTGGACAATATTAAATGTCCAAGATCACCCAGCAAATAAATGGCTGAGACATACTTAGATACTATATTAGTTTGCTAGAAACGCCGTAATAAAGTACCACAGACCAGGTGGCTTAAACAATAGAAATTTATTTTTTCAAAGTTTGGAAGGTTTAAGAGTCCAAGATCAAGGTGTTGACAGGGTTGGTTTCTTTCTTTCTTTCTTTCTTTTTTTAAGATTTTATTTATTTGAGACAGTGTGTGCGTGAGCCGGGGGAGGGGCAGAGGGAGAGGGCGGAGCAGACTCCCAGCTGAGCAGGGAGCCTGATGTGGGACTCGATCCCAGGACCCTGGGATCATGACCTGAGCTGAAGGCAGACGCTCAACCTACTGAGCCACCCAGGCGCACAGGGTTGGTTTCTTTGGGGTTCTCTTTCCTCAGCTTGTAGATGGTCTTGGCTTCACACGGTCTTTCCTCTGTGTCTGCGTCCTAATCTCCTCTTCTTACAAGCAGACCAGTCGGACTGGATTAGGGCCCACCCGTATGACTGCATTTTACTCGGTTACTTCTTCAAAGGCCCTATCTCTAAATACAGTCGCCTTCTGTGGTACCGGGGCTTAGGACGTCAACATATGAATTTGGGGAGGAACATAATCCAGACCATAACAGACACCGAGACTCTAGACTCCAAGTCCAGGGCTGTTGTGCCCACATCAGACTAGTAAGAGATCTGGTGGATTTTGTTCCTGAATTGGTTCAATTGTGTTTTGTTTCTTAGGGATGGGGAAGTTGTTTAGGGCCAGCAGGAGATTGAAAAATGTTTCCCAGGGCCAAGGCCCAATGGGAACCTGAGTGAGCACTGCCTGAGGAATCTAGGATTAGCCAGACCACCAAATACTGGGAAAAGTAACCAGAATCTTTGGCCTGGAAGGAACCCTGTGAGGTTAACTTGACAATATCAGGGGGATGAGAATTTACCTGGTGCGTTCTGGAGTTGACAGTTGTCTGAAGACTCTCAGGGCTGGCAAGTTCTTTCTTATGTGTAATCAGCATTCCTCATGCTAATTAAGCTCAACGCCCTTCCCTGGCCTTCAGTCCTCAGAATTAGACAATAAGACAGGTTTTTTTCCTTTGAAGCTTGAAGAAGGCTTGACAGCGTATTAAGGAAACTTCTCCATTCAGGACAGCCTCTTTCCTCATAGGAGGCTAGAGGGTGGGGAAACCAGAGGTAAAAAAGTTGTGCTTACCCCTTTGCTCTCCGTCAGAGGCCTTCAGCCCCTCTCCAGGCCCTGGCCAGCTCAAGGGGGTGGTGCAGAAACAGGGAGAACAGAGAGGCCCTCTGACTTCACAGAATTCACAGGTGGGCTCTAGTGGGATTATGGAGCATGGTGTGGGTATGATGTAGCCTGCGCCCAAAAGGGGCCACGACCAGGCAGGAGGGCCTACATCATCGTGGTGGCTGTTGGCGCCTGCGCTCTCTGCCAGGGAAAGCCAGCTTGGATCCTGGGGTTTAGAGGGAGCAAGTTAAAAGGATCCAGCTGAAGTGCAAAGAGAGCCAGAGGCAGCATGGCCTAGGGATCAAAACACCTGGGTTCTGGTCTCTGTCTGAGCCTCAGTTTCCCTTCCTTCACAGTGAAGTGGTTCGAGTAGGTCATCACTAAGATCCTTCCAGCTCTGAGCAAAAACTAGAGGATGCTGGGGGGGCAGGGAAGGACTACTCTTTGTAGAAAATCAAATGATGGACTATGTGTCTCCGTGAACCAAACCAGGCACAGAAAACTCTCCATCTTCATTCCAGAGTTGGTGGGGGGTGGGGGAGAGGGGGTGTTCGCTCTGGTGTCTCCGCATTTGACAACTCAACCTTTTCTACAGGGCCCCTGCAGGCTCCCGGTGGGGAGCTGTTTCCCTGAGGGACCCTGCCCCTGAGGGGAGGGAGGCAAAGACAAGATGGGGGCAGGACAATGGGCGGGTATCTGCCTGATGCCAGCAGTCAGGTAAAAGCAGCGGAATTAGCCCCCTATCTGCTTAGTTTCAAATATCAGAATAAAGGGATCCAATTTTATAGCTTTCATCTGAAGTTAATGGATAATGAGATGCAGGATCAGCCTTATGCAGTGATGCAGTTTAAAGCCCCTGGGAAGACTCTGTTTCCCCCTCCCCAATTATCTTGCCACTGAAATGCCACGAGTCCCACCATTAGAGCACACGGTGTTAAGTGCAGTCCTCTGCAAATCACATTCTTTCAAATACAAAAGCACCACTGGGATACTTTATCAAACAGCGCTTGGTGGGGGATGCTCAGGGATTGAGGGGTTCTGAAGATTAATCTCTAGATACTTCTCAGTTTCACGTTGGCCAACCCTTGTGAGAAAGCTGGGTTCTGCCTGGGGAAGTGCAAACTCAAGGACTCCCCTAGAACCCAGAGGCCTGAACTATGGGGATATTTCTAGTCTCAGGAAAGGGGTGGACTCCAAGTGGTGAGAGTAGTCATTATGTGAGAGATCACAGGGGCTGCCAGGAAAACTGAATTCAGAGAGATGAAAATGCCAAGAGTATACATGCACTTGGATTGGCCACTGTAGAAGCCAGTATAGAAGTGATATGTCCACAGGATGTAAAACTATTTCAGAAAAAACAAACAAACAACAAAAAAAACACACAGTTTCATTTCCTTGATTATCTGCTGTTTATCTAACCCAGGAGGCATGACTTGGAAGTGTTAAAACATAGCAGATGGGGAAACCTGGTTCAGACCTGGCTTTGTGACCTTGGGCAGGTGACTTAACCTTTCCGAGATTACATTTCCTCATCAAATTTAGTATAAAGCACCTGGCATATAGTCATCTTCTATAAACAGAAGTGATTATAGTTACGAGTATTGAGGGGGCTTCAAGACACTATCCATAAATTGGAACCAAGTCATGGAATGAATGACCACCATGTTCAGAACAAATCAGAAGCCCACATCCTAACAATTCGTGCGTAATGTTCTTTTTACCTGGATGAATCCAGTTTCTTTCCAACTTCATTTTATCTCTCAAGATCTGGTAATAAAAAGTGCACAAAATGTTCTGGACTCCTCTAAGCAACCTGGAAACCTTAGGTTTGGGGTGAGGATAGCCTTATACACAGATAGGATGGATGGCTGCCTCCATGGTAAGGATTAAGAAAAATCATAAACTGCCCACACAAAAATCTATATCATGCCACCTGCCACGGGTCTGAAATTCCATCATTGGGGTGCCTGGGTGGCTCAGTCGTTAAGCGTCTGCCTTCGGCTCAGGTCATGGTCCCAGGGTCCTGGGATCGAGCCCAGCATTGGACTCCCTGCTCCGCGGGAAGCCTGCTTCTCCCTCTCCCACTCCCCCTGCTTGTGTTCCCTCTCTCGCTATCTCTCTCTGTCAAATAAATGAATAAAATCTTAAAAAAAAATGAAATTCCATCATTATGGCTATTTCCTTCCATCTGGGCAGTGGCTCCCAAAGACCTACACAAAAAGCAGAGTTTCCCGGGAGAATGTGCATGTCCACACACTGATGGCTTCCTAATCTGGCAATCTGGTTGTTGCCCAGTAGAGATTAGCATGGGACTCCAGCCAAGTAAGTTTTGATAGGACTGGGGACATGAAAGGGCCAGGGGCAGACAGCGGAGAGTATGGGCAACAGAAAAGCATGAGGATTATAGAAAGAGAAAAAGACACCGAATGTGTTATGGGACCCACCAAATGTGTTATGGGACCCACCAAAAATGTCAACTATGCCAACTATGGTTTAGAGAGCTAAGAAGCAGACTCAATGCTGACACTTTATATTGACTCTTGATATTCCGTTCATCTTCATATTGACTCTACCTGGCTCTTGTGTTCTCCAGCCTAGACTTGCTTCTTCCCAGGAGCGACTGTGTACTTGGGCAGAGAGGTGGAGAGCTGAGCTCAGTGTCTACGTAGCCTGAGCTGCAACATCCAGGATCTCAATGACAGGCCGAGCAGCTCCGTCTGTGATTAAGCCTGTCAGGACATCAGCTGTAGTTCTCTGCCCTGGGTTGGGGCTCAGGAAATGAGCAACTAAGAGTGTGCTCTGCAGATCACTGGGACTCCAGGGGGCTTTTTAGGTGGTCCGAGAGACCACTTAGAGTCTGTCATCCGAAAACATGTGTCTGGTTTGTGTTTTCATTATAATGTCTGAGAAGATACGGATTTTTCTTTAAAAGTGAAAAGGAATGAATATTTTAAAAAGTATAGCCATCATCATGATTATTCACTCAGGGAAAAATACATGTGTGAGTATGTATGCACATCTGGAAATTTATATATATACATATATACACACATGTGCATGTCTTCCTTCCTTCCTTCTTTTCTATTCTTTTCTCATTGCCAAAAGAGGCCAATGGGATATCTGAGGCCCGGCATCCCTAAGATCTGGCCCGAACAACCTGAAAGCCCCCGGTAAGGATGTTACTTTGCAGGACCCGCCATACTCCTACACGTGACTCTGATGTTCTGGCATCATGGCGGCAGGGTCCCCTCTCTAACCCGTCTGCAGGCAATTTCTGCCCCCAAAACAGCAATCAGAGAAGTCTGGTTCCTCCCA